CGCTTGTCAGTGAGCCTTTCCAAGATTTGCCATGTACCTGCTTACAAGACTTACTGTATATGCTATGTCGGGTCTAGTACAAACCATAACATACATCAAAGAACCAACTATATTAGCATATGGAATGCTATTCATATAAGTTATTTCAACATCAGTACTGGGACACTGATCTATACTCAACTTGAATTGAGGGTTTGTCAGAGTCAAAACAGACTTTGAATTCGACATACCAAATTTTTTGAGAATCTTCTGTAGGTATGCCTCTTGAGATAAGCATAACTTCGACTGCTTTCTATCTCTTCGAATGTCAATCCTAAGAATCCTGGACGCAGCTTCCAGATCCTTCGTGTCGAACTCCTTATTTAGTCCATCCTTCACCCTCATTACATCTTCAAAATTTTTGCTTGCTATTATAATATCATCCACATAAATCAACAAAATAACAAATAAATTACTAGGTCAAAATCTGAAGTAAACACAGTGGTCGAACTAACTTATAATGAAACTTATGCGTGTCATGAACTTGTCGAATCTCTTATTACACTGTCGAGGAGATTGTTTCAATCCATATAAAGATATCTTTAGCTTGCACACATAATCTTCCTTCCCCTTTTCGACATACCCTTCAGGTTGCCTCATCAGGATTTTTTCATCTAGATCACTATACAACAATGTAGTCTTCACATCCATCTGTTCCAGTTCAAGGTCGGACTATGCCACCATGGCAAGCAATATTCAAATGGATCTATGCTTTAAAATAGGTGAGAACACATCATTGAAGTCGACACCTTCTTTCTGAGTGAAACCCCTAGCGACCAATCTTGCCTTGTATCTCTTCGACGCCACTTCTTCGATTCCTTCCTTAACTTTGAAAATCCATTTACAGCTGACGAACCTGGCTCCAACAGGTTTCTTGATTAGTTCAGGTGTTGTTATCATGAAGAGATTTCATCTCATCATCCATGACTTTCATTCATTCAGTCTTCTTTTGACTCCTCATAACTTCCTTATAGTCTCTAAGTTCTTCGTCGAGAACCTCACTTGCAGAGATTAAGGCTTAAGCTATAAGATCTGCATATCCAAGTCTCTGAGGTGGCTTGATGACTCTTTTTGACCTATCGCTTGCTAGCAAGTAGTCATTATCAGTCTCCTCATCTTCGATAGCAGCTTCAGCTTCTTCTTCGACTTCATCTGGGGTACACAATTCAGCATCAACATGTTCCACCTCAACAGGAATCTCTCCTTGTTCCAGATTTTTGTTAACATCATTAGCTTTTTTGAAAGTCATCCCATCTTCAATGAAAACTACATCTCGATTGGTGATACACCTTTTGTGACCTGGCTCTAGGCACCATAGTCTATAAGCTTTGACTCATTCAGGGTATCCTAAGAACATCCATTTCAAAGCTTTAGGTTCGACCTTGTCTTGCCTAATATGAGCATATGCCACACAGCCAAATACTCCCAGTCTGTCGAGACTAGGTGGATGTCCCAACCAAACTTCTTCAAGTGTCTTCATATCTAACGCAGTCGAAGGACATTTGTTTATCAGATATGTTACTATTGAAACAGCCTAAGCCCAAAACACATTCTTTAATTTAGCACTAATCAACATGCATCTAACTCTTTCTAAAATAGTTCGATTAAACCTTTCTATCAAACCATTTTGTTAAGGAGTACCTGTAGTAGTTTGTGCCTTGCAATACCTGAGGCAGCACAAAAACTGTCGAACGCCTCATTGCAAAATTCAAGGCCATTGTCGGTTTTCAACCTCTTAACCTTTCTGCTAGTCTGATTTTCGACCAGAGTCTTCCAACCTTTGAAATTTTCAAAATTTTCATCCATAGTCTTCTGGATGGATACCCATAACTTTCTGGAATACTCATTAACTATGGATAGAAAATACCTTTCTCCTGAATGTGATGGACACCTTGCAGGCCCCCAAAGATCAGCATGGATGTAGTCAAGGGATCCATGAGTTCTTTGTTTTCCTTTGTTGAACTTCACTCTGCAAGATTTTCCAAGTACGCAGGGTTCACAAAATTTCAGCTTTTCAACTTTGTCTCCTCCAAGTAGATTTTTTTTCCTTAATTCGACCATACCCTTTTTACTGGCATGGCCAATCTCATGTGCCAAATTCCTGTTTTAGACAACGGTTTTGTTGATGCAACATTTGTCGAACTACTTACAACTTCAGCCTCAAGGGTATACAAGCCTTGTTTCTTCACGCCTCTTAAGACTTCCTTCGACCCCTTCATGACTCTTAGGATACTTTTCTCTCCTTGAAAAGTATATCCCTTCTTGTCAAATTCACCAAGAGAAATCAAATTTCTCTTCAAATCAGGTACATACCTGACTTCAGTCAATAACCTTATTGACTCATCATGGAGCTTGAATCTCACAGATCAAATACCTGCAATTTTGCAAGATTTTTTGTTTCCCAGCAACACTGATCCACCATCTTGATCACATAGCCCCTCGAACAATTCTTTGTTTTGAGTCATGTGTCAAGTGCAACCCGAATCCATAATTCACTCATTTCTTGAGTCGCCGCTTGAAACCACATGAACATCAGATGATTCAAAGTCATCTTGAACAATGGTTGTGTTGCCATTATCTTTACCTCCATGTTCTTTCAAGCGTTCAGGGCACACTTTTCTTATGTGACCCTCCTTACAGTGATAGCATCGAATACCAGATGCCTAGCCACTATAAGACTTCTATTGACTTTTACCTTTCTTCTTGTCGAACTTACCATCCTTTCGCCAGAATTTTCCTTTAACGGCCAAACCTTCACCAACCGTCGAAGGTTTATGCTCTTTTCGTTCGTTCAAGTCCTTAAAATACAAGGCTGATTAAACTTCCTCAAAGCTCAGGGACCCCCTTCCATACAAGAGAGTTTCTTTGAAGTGAGCATGTGTTCTGAGCAAAACACACAACAGTAACAGTGCTTGATCTTCATCATCAATCTTCACATCAATATTTTCAAGATCAAGAATCAGCTTATTGAACATATCCAACTACTCAGCCAACACTTTGTCTTCACTCATCTTGAATGAATACAAAGTTTTCTTCAGGTAGAGTCGATTTACCAGAGATTTGGTTATGTACAAACTTTCAATTTTCAACCATAACCCTGATATTATAGTCTCCTTTGATACTTGTCGAAGAACCTTATCACCAAGGCTCAACAATATTGCGTTGTGGGCTTTCTCTATCATGGTTGTCTTTTCTTTTTCCGTTAACGCAATGTCCATGGCTGCCTCTCCCTTCAACGCTTCCAAACAAACTTGCTGAACCAGTAGAGCTTTCATTTTCAAGCGCCACAGACCGAAGTCGTTCACTCCGGTAAACTTTTCAATCTCATACTTTGTTGAAGGCATCTTCTCCACGCTCACCGCACCAATTTGTTGTGAATTAGGATGCCTTAAAACAAAATATACTCGGTTTCTTTATAGGCACAAAACATACAAGGGTTAGGGTTAACAAGGAAAAACAACAAGGATTGGTTACAACTACTATTCTTTACTTTCTCTATAAATCAGATTAAGGTACTTAAGAATAACAAATAACTCTCTCACCCTAATTAGGATTTGTCATACCATACTTAAGATAAGAGACTAGTATGCTATTTATAATAAAACTTAACATACTAAACTAATGGGCTTTTTAACAATTACTCATTACAAGCTAACTTAAATAATTGGATCCTTAACACAATGCTCAATTCGACAACTACATACTAGAACACAATTCGACTACAACATGTAGGTCTTCGACAACAGCATGTGAGCAAACTTCAACGGCATACTAACTAGAGTTCAATCCAATATTTCACATCATCCCTCGTGTCTCAACTAAAAGTATGATACTTTTAAAATCTTAAAACTTTTATAGTTAGTTCTTATATTTAATTTCTTTGTTATTGTTGTTAAAATTACTTTTTTTCATCTGCATTATGGTTATCGTTATTTTGTTTTAATATTATATTTTTTTGTTTTATATTTGTCATTCGTTTGGGTCATTTTTCTCAAAGTTTATAACACATTATTTTGTTTTCTTTAACTGATATTTTTATTTATGGCAATTCTAGATAAAGAAAAATAACTATATAGTAACAATTTTGAAAAAAAGACTCTAATCCCTAGGTCTTTGGGAATTAAGAAAAGAATCTTTACACTAAGTCTAAGTCAAAGTAGGTAATATATGGACCTTTACACTAAATAATCTAATGTATAGACCTTTACACTAATCAACGTATGTAATGTATAAATCTTTACATTAAATTTAAAATATATAATGTATTTATTTCCTCTTCATTTAACTTCTAATCAGTAGATATTTGCTCATCAAAAACTTGACCTTTATTTGATATCAAACACTCAATTAATCTAAAAGAATAAATATTTGTTTATAATAGTGAAAAAAAAGATTTCTTTATAACAAAAAGACACACAAATCACTATAACACTTTTATAACTTATTATAAGAGTGTATAGGAAAAAAAAACTGAGCTGATCTTTGGGGTAAGCCACTACAACTACTGTTTAAAATCTCATATTTTACAATCATTTAAAATATGTATTATATAATTGATTAATTTAAAATCAAAATCATTTTGAATTTTTAAAAAAAGGTATTTTATGATTAAAATGCAGAAAATAAATATGAGTCTTATTTTATTATTATCTAACCATAATTAATATTTTTGAGACTCTTTTTAACGTACAATTTTATAGTAAAAAATTTCAAATCATATATAATAATTTTCTTTACACGCCATCAAAAATATCTATTAAAAGGCATATTTATAAATAATAAATTTTTATTATATTAAAATAATTAAATTGAAGTTTTCCCTCATGCCTGTGTTTGACCGCCCTGGAAAAAAAACTCCGGAGAAAGTAATTATAGGAAAAATAATACTAGGAAGTAATTATAGGGAAAATAATACTATACAACATGGATGCAGCGGTGTGGATAGATAGAGACAAAATTGAATGGCGCTGGTGCGTGTGTACCCAATCACCACCACCCTTCCTCGTCTTGCTTCATCACTTTCCCTTACAACCAAATTCGTCGTTCGGAGCTCTAACCTTCACCTCAATGTCCAACCCAATCACTCGCGCAAGGTTCGTTCTTTCTTTCCATCTTTTCCAAACTTTATTTCATTTCTACCCCCAAAATTTCGATTGTTTTCTTTTGAAAAATTTTCAGTTAGTTCTGGAAGTCAAAGACAAGCTTGAAAAAGAACACCATACTCTTCCTATTGGTAGAAATGGTAGGGATGATGAAGATATGATACTATGGTTTCTCAAAGATCGCAAATTTTCCGTTGAAGAAGCTGCTTCTAAGTTGACTAAAGCCATTGTATCCTTTTTCTCGTAATAATTATATATCATTATTCATGTTTACAAATTCAGTACTTGTTATTACTTTCCCTTTCTACTTCGTTAGAAATGGCGTCAAGATTTTGAGGTCTCTAAATTGACTGAAGAAGCTGTTAAACATGTTGTTAAAACTGGAAAAGCATATATACATGACTTTCTTGATGTCAATGGCAGACCCGTGCTTGTCGTGGTTGCAGCAAAGCATTTTCCTAAAGTAAGTGTAAGACGTGGTTAAATGCGTGAAACCACAACTTTTTTATGCTCTTCTAGTCCTTCATTATTTGCAATTGATACTTATATTCTGTGTCATAGAACTTGAATTTGAGGAATGAGATTGCTTGATTTTGCATAAATCACACTATGTCACAGGCACAGGAGCCTGAAGATGATGAGAGGTTATGTGTTTTCCTAATTGAGAAGGCATTGAGTAAGCTTCCGCCTGGGAAAGAACAGATACTTGGAATATTTGATCTCAGAGGTTTTGGTACGGAAAATGCTGATCTTAGATACTTGACATTTTTGGTATGTTTTTTTGCTATCTGCCAAATATCTTTAGTTGATATGCTCATAGTGGCGTCGCCAAATTTGACTTGTGTTCATGAACTACTGTGACTGGTGTTCTTTATTTTTGGCAGTTTGATGTGTTCTATTGTTACTATCCAAAGCGATTATCTGAAGTTTTGTTTGTGGATGCTCCTTTTGTGTTTAAACCAATTTGGCAGCTTACCAAGCCTTTGTTAAAATCATATGCTTCTCTGGTAAGTGATACACATTTTAAATGTTCAACTTTTAAAGAAAAAAGAGGAATTCTTTTTTTTAATGAAGTGCAGCTTATAAATGTCTCATTTTTATTCTCTTTTACAGGTAAGATTTTGCTCTGCAGAGACTGTGAGGAAGGAATATTTTACGGATGAAACTTTGCCATCAAACTTCAGAGGTTAAATATGGTTTTTGGAAGATGTGAAAAATTGCAGGAATAGAGGAATACAAGAGAAATTATGGCAGAGATAAGGGAATTATATTAGTGGTTTGAAATTGAAATCACCTCCTTATAAGAGTAATACCATATAGAGGCAATACTGAAGAGACAGACTTGTATACCTGGAAGACAGGTGTTGTTTCGGCCATCCAATCTGAGGAACAAGAATGCATTGTCAGTTTATTGTTGTTTTTTTTTGTGTGCGCACATTTTCGTTTTATATTTGTAACAATATATCTCTTGTATAAGTGGTACAAATTGACGTTTGAAATAAATATGATGATTCTTTTTCCTTAAATCATTCTACTGCAAATACAAGATTTGGCTGTTATAATGATTGTGAAGTCAATTTCTGTGGTTATCGAGTATGACAGTATTCAATTAGTATTATCATGAAAATACATAATCAATGCGTTAAGTTGACGCTTGACATTGATTGATATTGGTTTTTGACACTATAATTGAAATTTGGTTTATGAAAATGCTGAGTATGTTCCACTAATAATTGCCTTTAGTTCGTCAGTGATAACAGGATTGCTCATGGTTTGTCCTCAATTATGCTCATGGTTTTATATTTTGCTCTTTAGCAATATGAATAGCAGGTTTTCCAATGTTCACTATCTCCGCAATTTTGCATGAGAGTTGTACCTATTTTACAGAAATTTGGGCTTCAAGTTAACCAAAAAAGATAATCACCATATACCATTTTCCTCAAAAAAAGTAGCTATCATATGTTAACCAGGACATCTCCCAACTTTTCTGAGCATGGCTGATTGGCAGGAAGGAAGATGAGTTGAGAAATTGGAATAACCAGCTGATTAAAGAAAAACATGGAGGTCTATATTTCATAGACATTGACGGGTTAATCATACTTTGTTGAGAAAACAAAGATGGAAGCTCACAACAAATTCTCACTCTCTATTTACCAGTATCCTCAAGGCTAAATATTTCTCAAAGGTTTCTTGGAGGCTGATCTTGGTGACAACCCGAATTATGCCTAGAGGAGTATATGGAGCACTTTTCCTTTGTTTCTCTTCATTGCCGCTGAAATATTGGTGATGGTAACTCAATAACTGCCCGGCTGAACCTTGGATACGACCTAGAACTTCAATGCGGCCCAATACTCCTTCACCTACTCGTGGCCTTCAACTATTGTCTCCAACTTGTTCGACAAACAAATCTTTGGCATGAAGATCTGACCCACGGTGTTTTTAACGGTAAGGATGCATACCACATCATCCAAATCCCGCTGCACTCACCAGCTCGATCAGATGCAATCATTTGGTATCCTACTATGGATGATAATCATTCCGTAAAAATCAATTACCCATGCATGTCTACAATTTCAAATGAGTCTAATATTGGCTCATGCAGATGATTGGAACGCGTTGTGGCGGATGCAAATCCCTCTTAAAGTTAAGAGTTTTTGCTAGAGCGCTCTTAGAGAAAGCATTCCTACCCGGTGGAATTTTATCACTCAAGGTGTCCTTTGTGTTGGTAATTGCATGCTTTGCAATAAGGTGCTTGAGAGCTTGAGACACATTTTCTTTGAATACCTTACTATATTTGAAAAATGATCCCTTGCATCAACATCAACTTGTGGCAAGAAATGAAATTTGAAGGAAAAAAAAAAAAAAAACATATTTTGCCTTCATTAAATGCAACTTAGATTTTGCTTCATTTAATGCCGATGAAAAATAAATTTTGGCTTATTCTTTAGAGCTCACACGGGTACTTTTATTTTTGTACAAACATTTTGAATTCATGCTCAACTTTTTACGGTAGAAGTAGAAGCTCTTGCTATTTTGGCCTCCTGTTAGCTCATAGTTTTGGATTTCCATAATGTTTTATTTGTAACCTAATTGTAAAATTGCAGTAGATGAATTACTGAATCCTAAAAAAATAGGATCTGAATGTGTTGCATTTTCATCCAAACTATAAAATGGTCTTTGTTCATATGCAAATTAATAGGCCTGCTCATTGTCTTGTAAGTAATGGATGTGTTCCACTCATATCCATACTACAAGATAGTCCTTATTAGTAGGCAAGTTAAATAGGATTGTTCATTATCGGGGTGTGTAGAAAATTCAACTAATTTAAAATAGTTAAGAGTTTAAAAAAAGTTGGAGATTCGAGATTCAAATTTTGACCATAGTCTAAATATATATTAACAAATTATCATTTAGAAAGAAAAAAAAAAGAATCGTTATGTTGCTATATCTTAAAATTGTTAGTTGGACTTTAACAGATTCTGAGTACTGCATCTATTTCTAACCAATTTTGTAATAGTAGAAACTAATTATAACAAACTCTTTCAAATTAATTCTTGTAATACTCCTCCTTAAGCTTAGGGTGGTGGAGGGTCAACCTTAAGCTTGACACACAAGTTATTAAAAATTGTGGAGTCAACGGTTTTGTAAGGGCATCGGCAATCTAAAACATGATTGGGACATGTTGAATTGCAATTTTCTTGAAGGTCACATGTCCCCTTCAAAGTGGATGTTCAATTTAACATGTTTTGTGCGTGATTGTAAAATTGGAATATGAGAGAGATGAACATCACTTAGGTTTTCAGACAGCGACTTGGGAGGAAAGAAAGGAACACAAAGTTCAGTGAAGAAGATCTGAAATGGTATGCGACAATGCGTGATATTCTGTCTCTACACTTGACTTGACCATAAGTGACTGTTTCTTTGAACTCCAGGAGATCATGTTAGGGCCAAAGAAGATACATGAATTAGAAGTAGATCTCATACTATCCACATCACTCGCTCAATCACTATCACTATATGCATGAAGAGAAAACTTATGCAGGAAATTAGAGGGAAGTGGAGTGAGACTAAAGTTGATTGTGTCACTTAGATACCTTAAGATCCATTTGATAACCACTCAATGTGTAGTTAAAGGGGAAGTCGTGAACCGGCACGCCTTATTGACTGGCACGTAATATCATGGCATATTAAAGCAATGTATTGTAGTGCCCTAACTATGGACCTGTAGTGATGAGGATCTGAGAATGCATTATGGTCAAACTTGCTAAGTTTGATACTACTGAGCATTGGTGTGGGAGCTCCATTGGCATTTGGCTTATGAGCACGTGTGAGAAGACCTTTAATGTATTTTGACTAAGACAACATAATAAAGTCGTGATCATGATGAGTGACTTCAATATTAAGGAAGTATTCAGGTCTGTCAAGCTTTGTCAAAGCTAAATTCAGATGAAACTTGGTGATGAGATCAAGAATAAGGGTAGAGGATGAGACAGTAATTAGGATGCCATCCACATAAACCAAAACATAAAGGACAATCCCTTGATGAGAATAGACAAACAAATAATGATCATATTTTGTTCAAGAACCGGAAATTAATATTTCAGCTTCACGAAAGAACCAGAAATGATGAGAGGTAAATAGCCGTTGATTTCGAACGACGACTCCAATCTCGTTTATGGCGGCATAGGATGGACCTGAATAGTTAACTGTCCAATGCTCAAGATGAATAAAGTGAAATTGGAGATCATAGATTGTGCACCTTCTCATAATGTGTGAAATATTTTTATATTCTAGATAGAGTTGAGAGAACTTGAGATGGATTGGACCTTGGACAATTGTCCTCCAGGAAAGGCTTAAGTATCATTGACTGGATTTCATGTAATAATCTGATGTGAAGCAAAACTGAATCGCTTGGAATCAATTTTGAAAAAGTAATGGGGAACGTGTGCATTTAATGTGGTTCCATCATTGAGATGACTCCTCACCCATTACCGACATGTTCGATGACATGACCAATTAGGGTGTATCGTAGTTCATAGAATGCTTGAGTGCAATTAAGTTTGGTGTTTGTCGTGTTTTTATGAGAGAAACTATAATCATTGATCTTGTGATCTCTATTCAGTCTTGTTCTTGATCCTTCTAATATCACAGCTTATAAATAGAGTGAGTTGAATAGTTAGAAATTTTTCATAAGCTTTCAGATACTTTTCTAGAAAAAACGTTTTATATTGTTTATAGTTGTAATAGTATGACATCCATATTGTATAACAGCGTTGGTAACTTTTATGAAACTTTTATATTGTTTATTTAATACTTCTTTTGATCCCTTAACTCTAGTCAATGTTTCTCTTTGATCCCTAAAAAACGTTATATAATGGTCCATTAACTTATACTCCGTTACATATTTTAGTTCTTTCGGCTAAAAAAACATTAAAACATGCTTTGTTGAACTTTTAATGATTGAGTTGGAATATTTATTTATTTTATATTGATTAAAATATTACAAATAATATATAAAAAAAGTATAAAATATTAATTTTTAATTAACATCATCACAACCTGGAAAATAAACAAAACATGAAATATTAATTTTTAATTAACTTTTTCTTCATCTTGTTTCTTTTCCACCGTTTTCATTCACTCTAATGGATTTTGTTTCTTTCCTTTTTCTTCATCTTCTTTCTGTCCTTCTATGAAAAACCCTAATGTGTTTTGTTTTGTTTGCAATTTCACCAATTTCTTCTATGAAAAATTTTACATTTTCCTTCATCTTGTTTGCAATTTCACCAATTTCTTCAACGAAAAATTTCACCTTCTTCTTCATCTTATTTGCAATTTCACCAATTTCTTCTATGAAAAATTTCACCTTTTTCTTCATCTTGTTTGCAATTTCACCAATTACTTATATAAAAGATTTCACCGTTTTCTTCATCTTGTTTGCAATTTCACCAATTTCTTCTATGAAAAATTCCACATTTCTTTTAAAGTTGGTTTCTTTTTTCTGTGATTACAAAATGTGAGACATATGTTGAATGTTGTTTTATTTTGTTTGCCTATTTTGCCATGAGAATAATTGTACTTTTGATATGATAGATTTTTTATTTTGTTTTTCCTGCATTTTTCGCTTTTGATATGATAGTTTTTCTGCTTTTTGATATTGTTTATGTTGTGTGTTGGTTATGAATTGATCTAAAGAACCATTTGTTGTACTGAGATTCATGCAGATGATGTTTGAATGTTGTTTCTTAGTTTTCTTTGTTCTATGGTTTGTGTTTGGAGGAAGCATGACTTGCAATGGAAGATGGATGAACGTTGTAGATGCAGAAAAGATGGATGATGGAGGGAAAAAAAAACAAAGTTGATTGTTCAATTTACCTTGTTGCTTATTTGTCTTGTCACCTCAACCATAATTAATGTTTTTTCACACAAACTAACAGTATGACTAAATAATTTAATGGATCTGAAATTAAAAGATCATTATGTAACTTGTTTTAGTTTGGAGACAAAAAAAAAATCATTCAAAAGTAAAGAACATAAGACTAAAGCAAAATTTTGTTCATAGTTAAGAGACATAAGGACTAATTAAATTAAATAAATGTAACAAGTCTTTTTTTTTGGTAAAATAAAAAACTTACTTCTCGCTAAGCAACAAAATTCTTTGAAAGTTTGACCTTCAATAATAAGCGAGTAAGCAAGCAGGATGATCAATGCCATAATTGAAACCAAATCAAACACAAGGCAAGAAAAGATAAAGAGGAGAGAAACAGTAAAATGGAAAACTCATGGATTGCGGCGATGTGTTTGGTTATGGCTACGATTTGCAGCACAACTGCTACCAACGAATCCCCGCCATACACAGTCGTTCACACCGACTCCGATTTCGAGATCAGACTCTACCAACCCTCCGTCTGGATGTCCGCTCCCGCCCTAAACATCATCTCCTTCGAGAAAGCGACATGGAACGGCTTCCACAGATTGTTCCAGTTCATACAAGGCGCCAATCTCAATTTCTCTCGAATTCCGATGACCGCTCCAGTATTAACAACCATGGTACCCGGTGCTGGTCCTCTCGAATCACAAGGCTACTATGTTAGTTTCTATTTGCCGGTGAAATTCCAAGCGGATCCACCGCTTCCACTTCCGGAACTCAATATTAAACCCTATAATTTTGATAGCCACTGCGTTGCTGTGAGAAGATTCTCTGGATTTGCGAAGGATGAGAGGATTGTAAAAGAGGCGGAGAAGCTAGATTCGAGTTTGAGTAGGTCACCGTGGGGTGAGTCGAAGAGTCACCGGGGTTACTCGATTGCACAGTATAATTCTCCTGTTCGGATTGCTAAGCGTACAAATGAAGTATGGGTGGATATTCATGCTCCAGAACTGGGATGTACCTTAGTTGGTTTTGCAGCAAATTGACCATTGATGTTATGTTCATAAGTTTATGTCTTTTAATATCGTTGTTGTGACTATTCTGAAAACACGTATATGAATTTGATGCATTGACTTGTGTATATAAGAACAGAATGTGAATTGTGTTTGCTGATAAAACAGATCTTATTTGCTTGAAAACTTATTAAATTCATTATCATTAAATCCACAGATAAGATATTTAACTTTATAAGAATTCAAAGATGAGATCTATTTTTCTGTGTATGTTTGTGTTGAGTTGGAGATTCATACATCTTTAGTACGATTTGGGGAGAAGCAAAATGTATATGCTGCTGGTATATTATTTGATAACCCTATAGGTGCTAGCCAGGTAAAATCCCAATATCGCTTTAGGTATTAAATTGTAAATAGATACTGTATTTGATGGGTCATAAACATCTATACTGTATTTTTTTATATGGCCTTGCAAATTATTAGTCTATTTGATGGGTCATAAACATCTATACTGTATTTTTTTTCCGCCTGAGGTCAATTAATATGAATCAATTCACTTGCCTAACCGGACATTTATGGTTGTTAATGCTTCAAAATTGTCTATGTGTTGAGGCATACAAACCGTTGATTGGATACACCGACTTTGGGCTGGCCTATAGGAGTTGGTCCATTTATGTTGATCCAACTCTCTCATGGGATGTCTTGAAACCCAGGTTGGCTCTCCTAGGTCTAGATTTAAATCCGATCCAAATTTTCAGACACGTACGCATTCCCTCAAACATACATGCTGTAGGTTGATCTAGTTCAAATTCAATTCCCAGAAAGTGTCTATTTTTTAAAGTACTCTAATCTCAATTATTTTTGTAGCAGAACCAGAACTGTCCAGGGTTATAGTTACAAAAACACTCGTCCCTTTTAATCAATTCTATGATTTCAATTACAATATACTCACTCGTGTAAGATTTATTGTCTTCTATCTTCCATGTAATATTGCTTTCAGAGCTAACTCTAACTACTCTAATTGGTCAGGAGTCAGCAGCCAATGAAATTGAAAGCTATCCTAAACTGTCACAGGATTCATCAGCAGATCTCAAAAAATCAAGAAAATAGAACGATGAGTGAAGTAATTATCAGATTCAGGGATAAATAATATTTATGGCGTTTAAACTATTATTCCTAACAGACTTTCAAATACATCAAAATACCCTTCTTTCTTTTATGTTTGATGTTCAAACAATGATATACAAGCAGAGAAGTCAATACTCACAAATATCTTAAACCTTATTAATAGTTTATATAACAAACTTCTATATATGCTGATTATATATGGCTTATCTTATATGATAAATGATTTGGAGCACGGCTATTTTACTAGTAGTTGATAGGAGTGTTAAAAAAACTGTGAACCGAACCACCAAACCAAACTAAATTAAAGTTAAAATAATCGAACTGTAATGTTTAGTTAGTAAACTGAACCATATTATAAAAACAGCTTTAAAACTGAATGTTTAGTTAGTAAACTGAACCATATTATAAAAACAGCTTTAAAACTGAACCATATGACAAGTAAACCAAACTAGAACCGAACCGAAAATGAAAATAAAAAATACTAAAAACAGGTTTTAAATTTTTTTTTTTTTAAATATTGAAAAGTAGTTTAAGGGTTTGGTTCTTTAGCAAATGGTTTGGTTTGGGAAATTTTGTCTTCTAATGTTCGGTATGGTTCGGAATTTCGAAACGGTATATCAAACCAATAATTTTGATTCAATTTGGTTCTGAATAAATTGAAACGGTTCGAGTGAACTTTTACTATGGTTTGGTGCAGTTCGGTTTTCTCAGTACCATGAACGACTCTAGTAGTTGATTTCATGAATACACATTCTCAGCTTCTCAAGACCCATATCCTTAAGTTAAACACACCACAAGTTTATGTCTTGGATGACATTTAGGTACCCAAACATTTTGCTTCAAAATTATATCAATTGAAAACGTGCATCATGCTTTTAAAAAACAAATAGCAGCAAACACATAAAAGTTCCCCCAACCACTCTTTATTGATATTTGTGGAATTGGGAGGGAAAATAGCTAGTTTTCTGCTGGTGTATGGTTTTTAAAAAATTGAGTGCACATCACCTATTAAATAGCATTTTTTCTAAAATCTTCGGTATCATGTCATTTCAAAATGAGTTTAAGATGACAAAGGAAAAATAAAAGAGTCCTGAAATGTTAGTTAGCTCGATGTCTTGTATGAGTATGGGATGGCAAAGACGAGCCAGGAGCAGAAGCCCTTCTGCTTGGCATAGGTAGCTTAATTTGAGTACAATAAACAATCAACAAAAGCAACAAAAGGACAGCAAAAAGACAAGTTGAAGAAGACATGACCTTCACATTCTTTAAAGTCGAAATTATAGTTTGGGATTTGTTGCTTGCAATATTTAACCATTGAAATTTCCCTTCAACCAATGCAGCTCCTAATGTCCAAGAAACATCACCTGGACCAAACTCCATTTCTACTTCACCGAGACATAGACCATACTCGATCAATGACGCCATATAAGCCACCCGGAAACAAAATTGTCCAGCATAATTTGGATTCTCAGATATACTGCTCAAGCCAGACCATAAATTTGAACATATTTGCTTGCCCGACTCCCAAATCATTGTTACATTGGCTCTTGGGCTCAAATTTAGCTTATTGTAGACAAAAAAGAAACCAGATAAAGCATGAAATCGCTTCATTGGGTGAGCAACAGCCGTTAAATTAAGTGCACTAGTGCCTGCAAGGTATATAATGAAACAGAGTAAGAGTTGGTGTCAACACCGACACGCTCGGTTACATTCAATAACTTCAATCTTCATAAATTATTATCAGTGTCTATCTGTCAGTATAATCAATGCTAATGCATAAAAAGAAAAAGAAAAAAGTTATAGCCAGCTAGCCACCAGACATAAAACAAACTGCACATTGCTTATTTAGATTAGAGATAATGTCATCCAACATTTTCTCAGCTGAGACCGAAGTTTTAAATTTCAATTAACAGGTGTTCTACATACTTAAATAGACTAGGAGAAAAAATAATTTTTAAAAATTTGTGTAAATAAAAAATAAAAACAAATGATTATACACTTACCAATACCAGAAAATAAACTTGCTTGGCAATTTGAACCAACTGCCTGATGTGACACTTGGGAATGGCTCAAGTTCAGAGCAGCAGCAATAGCTATTTCTCTGCATTGTTCCCAATCAGGTTCTCCACTAAGACTAAAAGTTTTCTGGGGTTGGCTATGATTTTTTCCGTCAGTGGCATCAAATCTAGAGCAATAAGAGCAGGTATAGTTTTGTACAAAAGTAGACATCAGACAAGGATGTCTAAGTTCGGATATACCTCTGGTTCTTTTTACACTCTGATTATTTCTAAGCATAACAACTGTCCTATCAAAAGCTTCATTCAAACCAAATGCAGGCAACGAGTACGCAACAATCCTATGTTCAATTGACCCGAACTCCGATCTCATCGCGTTCACATCATCCCCGGTAGCACGATCAATCTCCACCACAATCTGCAACGACGAGCCACCCAAATCAACAAGTCCCAAAGTAGACCCATCATCAAAGCTACCCATTTTGTAATTCAAAGCAACCCACCCATAATAAGCTTCCTCCCTCCCACTCAAAATCCTAATCCAACTCCTGTCAAACATAAAAGAATGATCTTTCACAACAGCCTCAACATCCTCCAAAACCCGAAATGCATCCTCCCTCTGAAGCCTCCTCAGTCCAGCAGTAGCCAGAACAAAAATAGGCGTATCACCGCGCATTTCACGGGGAACTAAACTTTCCGCCCAAACAATCAAAGGCTCCAAAGCTTGTTTCACTCCTAAAGAATCATTAACCAATTTATCTAACCCGGGTTCGGTTTGCATACAATGATATTGACAAGAGGTTTTCCAAAGTGAATTATTCCTATCTGTTGCATTACTATCAGGATATGAATGTAGCAAAACCGGCAAATTTCTACTACCTACAACACTCCCTAACATCCACTGATATACATTAACCCGTGTTCCTGTGCTTCCACAATCTACAACAACAGTATAATACGACGACGCATTAGGTTTCCAATTATAAGACTCGAGGTAAAAACCCAGAAACAAGAGAATAAGGATGAAAATGACAGCACCGATTTTAAACAACAGTTTATGTTTGGTGGCGAATCGTTTATCTTTGGAAGGAGATTTGGGAACTTCCATTAGAGTTTAATGGGTTACAGCATTAATTTGAGTAGACATAAACAAAACAAGGTTCAGATTTTTACTACCTATATCTCTGTATCTGTGTGGAACACTTGGGAGATGAATTTACCTTAGAGAGGTTTGGGTTTAACTTTGTAACGTAGAACCAAAGAATATATAAAGAAGAAGCTGCTATTTGGATCCGCGATTATCTGATTGATGAAGAACTCATGAAGGACCCAGCATCAGATCGGGGTTGAGGAGGGGACTACGCACGTTTCAAGTTTTTTTCCTTGTCGTGGGAATTTCACTATTTCACATCTTCGGTAGCAAAACTTGGAAGTGTTATACTAAAGTAAATGTCTATATAACTAGTCAAATGGATTAATTAACAATAATTAAAAAGACATTGCAATAAGAAATCACAAAAATTATTCTTTAGGAGCGACTATTTCGGATTGATCCAATGATTAGACATGATTCAATCTACTTCTGCTCTCAGAACAGTTCAATTGTCCAAGTCCAACCAATTTAGAAAAACATTTACCTTTCTGCCCCTTCAACAAGAGAGGTGGACCGATTTACCCCTAGACCAGCACTTCTCCTCGTCAGTCCTTGTCTGCCACGCACGGTTTCAACATCTAGAAACAGTCAAGACACTTGTGCTCGTAGCAACGACTAGTTATAGGCATCTATGTCTGTTCCAACAGCTAGTTTCTAGCAGTTATCTATTCTTCGCGAAACGGTTATCTCGTCCCGAAAATAGGAACCAATGGCCAAGTGTTGAGGGCACTATAAAA